GCTGTTCGGACGGTAGAAACTTTTAATCAGAAGAGAACATTAACGAAAGTCCTCGCCTCTTGTATGGCATTGGTAAAGCACAATGCTCATTTTCAATGACTTGATTTAACGTTGCTTTTTTTTAATTTACACATATCCCTATATCACTAGTAGGTACTTTTCTCAGATATCTACTAGAACAATGAGTCCATTTAAAATACCTTAATTTAACTACTTGATTGGAACATTGTCCGAGTTTCATCACTCTCAACATTTGGTTTTAGAGCAAAAGGTATTTGAGATACCCTGTGAACAGTAGAAATACTTATCTCTTTCAATTTAGTTTCTATTTTAAAGTGTTTTATACTAAATTTTAAATATTGTTGAAATTGATAGGATTAACTCAAAAGGACCGTCCTTATATTTATCATTCCTACAACTGATTTGACTTGATACATACCAGACGTCTTTAACGTAGATATCTGTTAAAACAATTGTTAAGTTTGGTTAAATAATTCAATTCCTACCAAAAGGAGACATATTTCAAGAATTACTGACGGTATAACTGAAATGCGCGATTTTGAAAAAAAACGTTGATACTAATTTCGCAAAAAGTGGTTACATCCATTGTACTAAGAGTAGTAAGATAAGCTGAATTATGTAGGCGACATATGCGATAAATTTTAAAGGTGTTGATCGTAACTATTAATGTAATATAAATATAATAATATAGATAAGTAGATTTTATGAGCAATTGGCAATGTAGGCCAAAAAATAAGGAAGTCCCTTTTGGCATCTCCGTTTGTTATCAACCGAATTGCATGAAATTTAAAATGAGCATCACTTTGGTCATAATACGCAATGAATCTAATCAATTCAGCATTCACAATGAACCGAACTTTTTTACTTATGAAGGCATTTAAATGAAATTTGATACTTGGGCACTTGGAATAAACGCAAATGTAACGCCCGTTCCACAATTTGGTTTTGCGCATGCTATAGCCATACCCAGGAGCCCGTTTGCTACATTTGTTTACACGTTTATTATAATATCATGTTCTAAATAAAAGAGTAAATTTGAAAAGCAGAAGTCTTTGTAATTTATTCTAGAACTTTTTATGAAGATTGGATATTTACTCTTTATACGCTGAACTGGTATTAGGTATACCTACCGGTAAATAACACAAAGATGCTTACATTTTAACGTCATGCTTTATTAGAAGCATAACAATAATTGTTATGAAATCATTATCATAAACGTTACGTCTTTTTGTTATTGATATTACAACAGTCGACAGGTGCGGTCTTTTCCACACTATACGCGTGTACTAAAGGGTTAAGTAAAATTATTACGTTAAATAAGCTAGTTACAAGTGACGCTTTTTAAATTTGACACACTATAGCTACTTTATATATTACAGCCGACTCGTCCGCCATGTTGCAGCCCACTGACAATATTTACGTTTGCAAAACGTTCTATGTCCTGCATGTATTGCGTTATTAAAGAAAAGCCATTAATTTTTTGAACGTTTATTAATGCATAAATATAAGAGCTTAGATATTTAACACTTTTTTATGCATAGATTTGGATTGTCAGTGGGTTCCAAAATAGCTGACGAGTCTGCTACCATAATCAAGTCATACGCAAAAAAAGACAAGATTAGTAGGCGCACTGGGCATATCCCTACAGCATTTGTTACAATGCTTTCAACTTTCTACTATCTACTATGAATTAGAGAGCAATTTTTTATACCCGCAAATTCTCTTTTATCGTAGAAACAAGTTATTGTAATCGCTTGATAATTATTTACTTTGAGTTAATCAAGATGATAAAAGTTTAAATAGGCGTCAAAATCTTATATAAGCAAGACTCAAGATTCAAAATTATGTTCCATGAGAGAGAGTCAGAGAAAATGATGTCAAAATCACAAAGGACATTTCCTTGAAACTCCTTAAGCGCAAAAAAAAGTATCCCATTGTTAAAACAGATGTTGCTAACGTCTATATCTCTGTAAAGTAATTATTGGTGCAGTTTATGTCTCGAAATTCTAATCAAGAGATCTATTGGATGCTTCGGTTAAATGCAAATTAAAGACAGCTATCGTTTTATTTCTACGCTTCGAAACTGCTATTCCGTAAGGTATAAAGGAGAACTTGTTTTACTAATTACTATATGAAGCTAAGGCAGTAGGTACTAAGTAATTGCGATATTTTCCATTTAAGTAATAGATCATGATTATAGCGTTTTTAATAAAAGAAAGTTTCGCCAACATTTTCTAATTAAATTAACCGTGGCCATTTATTGGCCATAAATAAATGAAAAGTTGACGATTCTATACATTCCAGTTGATATTGAAAGGTGTTTTTAGTCTGAAAAGTTCAGCGGTAGAACTGGAAGTTTTATTTCATCTTTTCATCTACGCTATTCAGAAATTTCCGATACTATCAAATGGATTATAATTTAAGGGTTGCAATAAATCATATAACGAGTGCAGGAATAAAAAAAGGAAAATATCAAGTTGGTCTGTTTTACATATATTTACAATTCCTTTCAAACAATAAGCCGAAACTATCGATTGATCAGTTATCATTATATCATTTATAATACATTCATGAAAAGGACTTTCAGTCTACTACACTTTCGCTTCCCACTAACTATAACAGTAAATTTTCAAACTTTCATTTGTAAGGCTACTACAGCAGCACTTTTTCTATTTTTTTTCAGAAAATGGACTTTTACATTTCAACTAAAAGAGATCAATTTTAAGGAATTGTTGGGTCCTTCATCTCTCCACAGTCAGTACTTTAGATCATAATAAAACTTATGGCACTTGGAAAAGGCTGTTCCTCCTGGTTTGATCAATATCAGGGTCGTCTCTGCCGAACTAATTATTCATCGTACATCCAAAGTAATTGTAGATACTGGAAAGAAGTACAGTTGTTGTTGATTATGCATCACATAAGGACGTGCCTGACGGAGAAACTAAAACGTCAGTTTGAGCCGGAAGGCTTCTATAGCAGGCAAATATTGTGTTATAAACATCTTAGTTTTTATTTCGGAATGCCTTAAGAACACATTTTGACATTTAAGCATCCCCAACTTCCGCTACATTTGCAATCCGGCCCTGATCTTTTGAATTAATATGCTGCGTTTAAGATTTGCATTAAAAATCTTACAATATTTTAGGTCATAATCAAAGGAAATTATAAAAAGCTATACGAATATGTGATCGTTTTTTTAAATTATCAAACCATTCGCTAGGGTGTTAGTGTTCGTCATTGACACCAGGTTTTGATGTTTTACGGAATGCGCTAAAGCGATTGTACCTAATATTTCATTTCATTCGAGGAATGCACACAAGTGAGAATATATACAGGGGTAGGCGAAATGGTTATATACAGGGCGTGCTAGATATTTTCTTTGACGGAACTTTCAAAGGAATAACTAAAAGATAATCAAGGTTTTGCTTGGGATTATCCCTATAAATTGAACTCTACAAAATTAATGTTGTGAGTTGTGACCACATCTTGTTGAACTAATGTGGACTTAATATCGAACCCAATACTAGTTTGAGGACTCAACATAGGGTTAAACCGAAAAGTTTTTGTAGTAATTAAAAATGTTGCAAATTTTCGTTTTACTACTATTAAAATTCACAAAACATCCTGTATGTTCTTCAAATCGAAATACTCAAAATACCGACAGACAATCAAAAAACAATTATTTTTTTAAAACTACTTAATTCTTCATTCGTCTTTCATCAGCAGCGGCCTTGATTTTAAAACAAAGTTAAAATTTGTTCACAAAACTACACACGAAATAATTGCTAGGTAACATTCTGAAAGAAAATTTCAAATGTTCAGTTTCGCAGCTTTGTGTTTTAATTTGAAACAACTTCCAATATTTGATTGGTTAAAGGATTGGCAAAAAATTCAAGTCGCGGTCCTGAAGTGAAAACAACCTACGTGCTATTTTGTGCCGTAACGAATGGGAGGATTTACTGACTCTCATTTGCAACTTTAAGCCTTTACCTTAACTAAGAAAACAATAAGACTGTACAAACAAGAATCCTGAAACAGAATATTCAGAGAAGATTTTTTAATACAATTAAGGCTGGGTCACGATTTACGCTGATAACTGCATCTCTGACGTAACGTAACATAATGTAATATCGAAACTCCCTATAAGTTGTAGAGGTATAGTTGGTTGTGTGTAATACAATATAACGGAAAATGTTGCTATTCGGGTCTTGGAAGTATGTGTCATTTTCATTCGCAATGTGGGCACCACGAAGGTCACAATTTATTCAGAGTTTACCACGCACCAGGCGTTCGACAAAAGAAATTTAATTTTTGAACAAGAGAACAGAAAACCTCACGTTGCACTAAAACTGCTCCCTTTTAACTAACTTTTTTTTCGAACACGTGTTGAAACTTCTCTCAAATTTGTAACAACTTCAGTTAACTTTCTTCTGTACAGAAACATAAAAATGACCAAGTGCGTCTTCAATCAATCAAATAGAGTGAAACTCCCTAATAAAAATAGCGGAATGAAACGGGTGCTTTCCAACCGTCGCTCTCTTGCAGTCTCCTGCTTGCAGTCTTTAACGAAACTCTTCTTCCATGGTAAAATGAATCACATTCTTTCAGTTTTTTTACATATAAAACGCCAATCAAAATTAGCTTAATAACGCCAGCTCCGCCAGAAGGCATCCTCTCTTACGCCGAACTAATGCGCACATGGTGGCACATCTCCATAACCTATTATCTCCTCTAACAGCAATAAAAAATTTTAGGCTTAATTAAAACTCCTCCGATACCAAATCTCTTATCCTTATCACAAACCAAACGTAATTACAAACAATTCTAAAAGGAACAACAAACAAAAGGATCCTTATTAATGATTAATTGTAGTGTTCTTTCATATGGTGTGGTAATATCAAACTAATAACGCTAGTTTCCCCCATCGCGTCTTTATTTGGTCCCAATTTAACATATATACGAAAGGGCGTCACGATATTAAGTTATCTGCTGTCATGTACGTTACAATGTCAAAAGTTGGTTAATGAATAATTTTTATTTGAATATTGCGTTGTTTATCTAAAAGAAATTATACCACAAACAAGGTAAGCAAGTTTTGTGTAGGTAATTCGTGTGTGTACTTAAATCAATTAATGCGCTTTATCGTATGTACTTGTCCATTTTGTGTGTGGTCCCTTCAAAATGAAATTAAACCGCCTATTTTCGTAGGTCGGAATGGCTAATTCTTCACCTGACCAACTGTATGGCTACCTTACTCCCACTTTTAATTATTGTTATGATGACCCTGAAGGTTATATGGCAGATTACCCGGACAGCGATCTTTTATCGGAAACATCTTTTCCGCCAGCAGGTGGACAAAATATACGAGTTGGTCATCCTGCCACTCAAGAACTCTATGCATGCGATACCTTCCACTTACCCGAAACGTAAGCCTAACAGAATTCGAAACATGCTAAATGTGTTTTGCCCAATACTTCCATACTTAATGAGTCTCGAAAGAGAAATAATATGCTTATCGCATTATCGATTAAGTATGTGAAACGTTACAAAAATTGAGATGACAGAGTGGAACAGAATTGGACACAAACAATAATAATGTCCATCGGGCTATTTTAATCTGACTTTTTTACGCTTCGTGCGCGTCTTCGATTATGTGACGGTTCTATTAATTCTATGAATATTAAATTTGGTTTTCAACGATTTTAGTTACTACGTAAATACCCCCTTACCCATACCTCCTCCTCTTCCGCGACGTTCCAGAGTGTCACCGGTCTACTGTCCATGTTTCAACACCCCAATTGACACAGATTTTAGAGACCATGAAATATATGGTGCGCCACACCACCGAATTCCGAAAATTGCGCCTCGAATTACCCGAAGGCATCCTGTAGCAGTACGGACACCCAGGTAAGGATGTATTGACCATTCATGTTAATGTTAATTTAGTACTTTTTGAAGGTACTTTCGACGCCCAATGTCAAACATCTGCAAGAAACCATCGGTTCTGTGCCTACCGGTTGTTTCCCGACCTGATCCCGCCGTATGCCTTCGAAATAAAAAACCAATCTACCAGTATGTACCGGCAGCAAAGCATCTTGGTCGTCGCCACAGTTTGCCGATGCAGACGCCTGTTGCTGTGAACAGGGAGCACGAAAAAGAACTGCACATGACGCAATCTAGTGTCGATGCGGTTTTAGCACGCTATGACACAATTTGCGAAGGACAAGGCCCCGGGGAAAATTGCGGGTCCATTTCCAGTAAATCCTCAAGAAATCGCAAATTCAAACCAAAGGTATATGACCTCAAACTTACCGAGTTAAAGTGATGCTGTTGCAGACACCACCATCCCTAAAAAAAGAATTTGTGAAAAATAGAGCAGGGCGAATGGATGACAAGAACTCGCCGAGCAAATTACCAGACGTCGAAGCTCTGGAGGTGGAAGACATTACAACCGAGGTCTTAGATATGATGCTGTCAGAATTAATAAATTCTGGTTCTGAGAAGGATGGTACCAAAGATAAGCTACCCCCAAAAAGCTACGACGCAAGGGCTGCAGGAGAAGGAGCCAACATTGGAAACGCTCAGGTTGACTTTCGTCTAATAGTACTGATATACAGCTCTTTTATTACAGAACACCGTCTTCCCCAGTTTCAATTACCAAGATATTTCAAGGAACATTAAAAAATCGCAACCTTACATCAACGCTACTTCGGCACCTACACCCTCAACTCCAAAAAGTTCCAAAGCGGATGTTACAAATGTCAAAAAGGAAAATTGTGGCTCTTCCCTCTCCGCTGAAAACAGCATCTTGGAGTTGCACCGCTCCAAAAGCTACATTCTTAGTTTGATTGATAGAGCGCTAAGTAGAGAGCTTGGTACTGCAACCGATGAAGGTTACCCGTCCATACCAAAGGAGGTAATCCTATATCATTGTAACTATCTTACAGTACCTATATATTTCAGGTTATACAAGTGAGCGCCCGTCAAGCGGCCGGTACCGTTAAGAAACATGATCGAAATTGCGACAACGGTTTATGTTTGCAAGTAACGCAAAATTTAACAGAACCCCATAAAGCTTTCCCCGAAACTGAACTGAAACATGAGAGCTCCTGTAGCTGCAATGTTCAAGGTTGGAAATTTTATTATCGTTCATTGTTATCTTTTTGATTTGTAGACGAGCCCTTATATATGAAGCAGCTACGCCAATTAAAATGGGGCCACTTGAAGCATATACAAATGGAAGCGAGAAGATTGGAAGATCTGGAACGATTTTTAGATTCGTGCAGCTCCTCGCAATCAAATTAGGGTAAATAGACGTCAAATTTTATGGAAACCAAAATGAAAATGGAAATAAAGACACTAATTGCCGCACCTTACTTTCTTGCAAGCTACACTACCTACTAACAATCATTTGTTTGTGGTGTCTAGGTTTTTGGGATCTGAATTAGGAATTTTGAAATTTGTGTTTTGTATTATTTTCTCGGTCTACTCAAGTATCTTTGCACGCTTGATCAGTAAGCGTGAGATAGCTTTTTGCCTTCGTGAAAATTGAGTTAAGTCCAACAAAATCGGCATGCATCCCGGAGCAAAAGGTGAGTGGTGGACTATAGTCATTTCAACATAATTACGTTCCTTCTGGTACACTTACTCCTCACCTACTCACGCAGTAATTTTGCTGCTAAGATTATTACCAGTTTACATCCTTTCTACATCCCTACGGAGAAGGACGCCCAAACCTTTTCGACGATCTTGGATAGTTCGGGATAAAGCTTTAAACATTAACTACAGAAAATATTCAAAGCATTTGACACGGTCCGTGTGCTTATGAGAGGTCAGAGACGAATGACAGTTGATCGGTAAGATTGGGAATAAAACAGTACCATTAAATCCGTAGCTCCTTGTGCTTCACTGGAGCACCTTTTTACATTCTATTCTTTGTTCAAGAAACTACAACTTAATTTATTTACGAGCACGTAGCAAGTCCACCTACTTTTAATTCCGAAACGAAGCGACAATCACCTCAGACTGGAGTACGATCTGTCGGCGGCGGTAGGACGGCTTGCTCTGCGTAATAATATTGAAGTGCCAAGACCGGCCCAATGTTGAGAATTTAATATTGGGCGAACGGTTTATCACCAATATTGCGCCTATGTGGTGAAACAATCTTATTTTTATACACAGTAATATTTATTAAGAAGTAGGCTTAGGGATTTATGTGTATTGTTTATCTCCATGTCTACTTTTAAATGACAAAATTTCTTCTGAAAGGCGCCTAATTTTATGCAACTAAAATAACTGCTTCGAACAAATAAAGATCTGGTTGTCATATTAATTAATTTTTCGAATAAAGGCCGTTTACCCACGTAGTGCATTTGTGTAACTTAGTTACAATGGATACGTCAGATGAAGAGGATTTGCTCATATCCCTCATATGTGAGGAGCCGGAAAATAAAAACGAAGCGGTGCCATTGGGTCCATCCAATTTGCAAATTAAGAAGTAAGCAGGGCGATTTTCACACATTGAAGCCACAATTTTTGAGAATAATTTTATCAATATTTCCGAATGGTCCATCAGAAGTTTCAGCAGCTTGTGGAAATGCTGCGCCGAGAAACGGTCCAAAACGCCACATTTCGCCGCGGGATAGGACCAGCAGATGGCCTGGTAGTCTGTCTGAGGTTCGCATAAAAACACAATTGACATAATATTTACTCGCATTTTTATTAAAAATACTGAAAATAACTGAAAATAGTTAATGACAGGCAACGAAACGTATAATCAATCTAGCAAATAACGAGAATAGCGGATTTTTTTTCAATTTGGATGGGAGTCGGATCAGTGATTGTGCGGTTACGTGTGGCGACACGTTCACCCTCAGGAAATATCTAAGTAGGTACGCGTGGCACCCAAAAGATGAAGCGTCAGTGTAAAAGACGAAAGGTTTTGAGAAGTCAGGGCCTTCACGGGTAGATCAGACGTAATTATCAGAAATATGGTACAATACCCATACGATCACGAAAATCTATGCCCAATGTATAATCAGTACTCGATGTAGGTACTACCAATAGAGTAATAATTACAGTTCGGGTTTTCAGAGTAATGAGCGTCGTCACATAACCCAAAGAAGTACTAGTGCTACCATCAGCAATAACACATGACTTAGGTTGATTAATAAAACGTAAACATACATGTTGTAACTTGGAAACTAGGGTTTCATTAATAACAGATATCGACCCGAAAAATGTTGACTTCAAATAAGGTCGTAAATCTTGGCCCACATGTGACAGTGAAAAGTCTAATTTTGGTTGAAGCGACATCGTCTTGGTAAATACACCATAGGCAGCTACCGACGACTTCTGAAATCCCTCTGGGTCCGTTTCCCGAACAATATCTACACGCACACACCGTACCGCACATAGCGCCACACTTGTAGCAAGCCGTTAACGTTATACCAAACCTCGCGTTTCCCTCAAATAAATCAAATCCGGTTTTAAATAGTCAAGTAATCTCCCCCCACCCTCCCTCCCTCTCACTCTAGCCATACGAACGTTAATAATTGTAATTTTAAAAAAAGGTTACCAAGAACAGACAAGAACTACTAGGTAAGGGTAAGCTATAAGCTGGAAGATAAAACGATTTTTGGATTCGTGCAGCTTCTGGAAATCAAACTAGTATAAATAGTATTTATTTTTCGTAAAAAATTTATGTAAACAAAAAAGGAAATATTTACATAACAGGCACTATTTACAACACATCTAATTGGCTCCACTCTTAGTAATAGGTATATACTTCAGAGGCTGAACGTTCTTGTCAATCACCGGTAGGTTGACGTAAATCTTGTCATCCGATCGTACGTCCTCATCTGAGGAACTAAACTGACCCAACTTCTCATCGGTTAGATTTTCTTCGGAAAAATCCCGCCCAGACTCGTGTGACCCAAACTCCTTCCTTTTAGAAATCTTTTGTATGTGACTGTAGCTTGTTGATATTGGATTTGCGGAACTTGTTGCTAGATCGAAAGTTTCCGACCCAATGTGCTTTGTAATATTGATAGGGATTGTATCGTCAAAGCTCAGTGGCAAGTACTTGATGGACCGATCGGGTGCAATAAAATCTCGTATGATTTTCGGAGTGTGTGCGCTCACAAATGGCAAAATCGTTTCTCTCGCATACTTCTCGGCTTGTTCAAACATCCTAGCAAGCTTGACCGGTAAAATTTGTACTGTGGTGAAGATCGAGCTAAATCCACCGAATTCCGCGGGTTTTTCTGTGGTGTGTTTGTTGCGTTCTTCTCCTTTCAACACGTTTACGTCCCTTGCACTAACTGCGGACCATTCGTCTTTACCCGTGTCGTAAAAATCGAATGGCTCCTGTCGAGCGTTTCGTTTGGATAAGTCCTCGTTGTCAAACGCCTTCTTGGTTGTTGTGGAGCCTAAGATTGGCTCTGAGATTTCCGATTTGTCATCCACGTAGCTATGAGCTCTGGCATTCTTGCGATTTTGCGCTTTCAAGACTGGTTCCACAATTTCGTGTGGAGTAGCGTTGTTGGTGTGATTGAAGTTGGGCGAATCTTCCTCATATTTGACGTTCAACGCGCGACTCGTTTCTTTTTCGTCCTCAACCGCATTCTCTTTATCACTATTTACTAGCCATGGAATGTTAAATATTGATATGGCGTTGCTTAATGAAAGTCTATTTTCTGTCTTTTCAAGAGTTTCTGCACTAGTTGAATTTTGGTCTTCGGTATTGTTTGCAATTTCCTGCAGCTGACAATCGCCTTTATGTAAAGGCAGCACCAATGGCTTTCCAGATTCTAAAATAATCGACTTCTGACAAATTGAAGATCTGAAACACGATAAGTTACTATTACTATTTAAAGTTTTTGTTACCAACGTACATTTGTCCGAAGCTATCACTCAATGTGATTTTATCAATTTTCCAGTGCGTTAATCCAGACGATATCCATCCGCTGTAGGCTGTGTACAGTATTTCGATTTTGGTGGGATCAGCTAGTATGGGATGGGGTACAAACATTCTAGAGATCTCGTGCCCAAGGACCATTTCCTCGTCATCCTTTCTAATAAAGTTGTTAGTGCCAATATGAAAGATTTCGTCATACATACTTAGTCATTACAAAGGTTTCATTTAAAGTTGAATCTCCCAACAACATGACCTGCAGTTTTCCGTAACTAACGACGGGAACATCCGTACTGCTCGTTTTAATATTTATTTTGTATTGATGCGCTGAAATGTGCTTATGAAAACTGGTTGTGGAGTAGTAATCGATCATTACCACAAAACGGTTCTTCTTCCCTTGTAATAAGAAAAAGCTGTCCTCTTCCGTGCCAGCGATCAGCGTAGTATCCCATATTTCCGCACTCTCTATTTGTATAAAAGAAAAGATGACGTCTTTGGTTAACTATTGGAGATATTATTACCGCTCATCCGTGCAGGGGAAGCAATTCCCTTCCAAAAAATCACCGTAAGAATTGCAAGGAAATGCAGGAAAATGGCAACGTGGAGAAACGGAATCCGTAAAAAATTTATAGGCTCTTCTATGATTGCATAAAGAACGACCCTCTATTGATGATGCTAAAATTGTGAAACATTCAACTGGCAATGTCAGTGAAGTAACTCACACCAAATAATGTCAGTAACGGCTCCCAAGAAAATATGGGAACATCCCTTTTGCATCCTGCCACCATTCGGGTAAAAGTCAACGTGGCCCAAAGGTTGCCAAGAACCCAACCCGCCCAAAATGAGATTTTCCCCATTACTATGGATAACGTCCACGAAATGCGCATCGGTTTGGTCCAATCTCGCGCGTGGGTCTTGTGATTCAAATAATGGACCAGCCGGATCAAGACCTATATGTAGATAAAATAAAATAAATCCAAACGAGAATGATAACTACCGGTGATTCGACTGATATTTCCCAGGTTAGCGCCCGCGAAACCCGCCACATGGGCACCCAAACTGAAACCGATCAAGTGCACTTTACTCTCCATCAGCCCCGACTTTTCCATTAACCCCTTCAGCAAATTCGATACCTGCCTCCCAACCAACCTGGTATTAATCACCGCTTTTACGTAGTTGGGCAATTCGGCACCCTTTGACCAGTCCACGCAAATGAGGTTCATCTCCTCCTGAAAAATTAAAATGATTTGAAACGTTACTTTAATTATATCCTCTTACTAACAACAGCCATTAACGCGCTGCGCATTTCATATACCCATATATGACTACAGTCGCTACCGAAACCGTGAATTAGAACTTTCGTCGGAAGTTCCTTATTAAATCCCCTGTCGCCCCAGTTAAACGCATCGGACAAATTCGAAAACGGAATTTCCAAATGTGTAAATCCGCTTTTTCTACTTTTATGACTAGGATACAAGAAAAACTTGGTGTTCACGTCTTCGGGCGGCCCCGGCACCATTTCCAAATACGCGAACGGTCCCTCTACCTCAAAACACCCAAGATCTTCGTAACAAGCTTGCGGTGTTTCTCTTTTCTCTCTGAAACCTTACGTGTGAAAATCGCGCAGTAGTCAACACCGAAAATCTACCTCCTATCGAGCTGCTTTCGAGCTTCCCATTCTTTTATAGAACTAACGACTGCATTGTAGATTTCTGCGTCGTGAATTTCGTCGAGTTTCTCCTGGGCTGGACTCGCCCATGGTCCCGAGTTAACTGAAAAAATAATTTGCGTTAGTTGACAGACAAACGGAACGGAGTAGATTTAATGTTAAAAGAAACAACCGAAATAAACTAAAATGAAATTCTTTAAATCAATTTCTATTTCTTCCACCACTTGTGGTTTCCCAATTTATTTATTTTTTGCTGACCAACTGTTATTTAAATAAATCAATATTATGAAACTAAAACTTTCTGTTTTATGGCTTGGTGATGTTTCTTACACGAATTACTTTGACTCTGGTAAATTTCGTAGAACATTTTGCATAATGGCGATGCATATTTATAAAATCCACGTAGCGAAAATGTATAAGAAAACACAAACGTTGCTTTGCATTTTTGATAACTTTGATTTTTCTCCTATGCGTCATTGAGTTCCATATACCCATTGACCGTTTAATTGCTTTGGAAAGTCTTAGCGACAATCTGTCGGCGATAACAAGAGATAATATTATCTTAATGAGATTCTTGTGATCAAAAATGCTAATGTAGAGTTACGTGCTGCGAAAGTATAAAAAACGACAACTTACAAAGTTAAATGTCCGTGGGATTGTGAACTCCTTAATAACAAATGAGCAAAAAACTAATCAGATTAATTTGTGATCAAAAATGGCTAATTTCATTAATAAAGCACCATTTTGGAGCAAAAATTAATTTAAAAGAGTTAGGTAAGGATTCATCCGGAGGATATTTTTGAAGGTATTCAGTTTTGAGCCGGCGGCCAAGTACCGCTCAGTGCGAATAATCCGAGTACCTGCTAATCGCGTCCAAAATCAACACATTTTATTTGAGCAAGTTGTCAGTGCTTACCTAAAGTTCGTAGTAACGAACAGTGAAAAATCGAAAAATAGGATTACTGTATGATTTAATTTCAACCAGAAAGACGTTCCGTTAATAAAGTTGTTGAATGCGCTGAAAGATCATCAAAGAAGGATGATAAGTATAAAAGCGTTAGTTAGGGGAAAATCAACTTTAATCGGCGGGAATAGCCGTTTTTTTTATCAATCAATATAAATGCGGTGTAGCAGTTTGTGTAGAATTAACCTTCTTGGAACAATCAGAATAAGTGAACGTATTAAAATGGTTTTGAATTACACGCTGGAAATCGGTCGTGGTAAGTTACTTTTGCAACTCTGAAAATGAAGCATAGCTTTGTAAAAATAAGGTGTCATCACCGAATCCGAAAGTCAGTATACAGCTCTCAAAGCTGGTTTATCCAATTGAAATTGATAAAATACCGCTATTCCACCATTGACCAGGCGGGAAGAATAGATTCGAAGATTGGCGTTGAGGGAAAAAGATCCAGATACATTAGCGTTTGGTTAACCGAGCTTAGAAAAAGAGTTTAGGTAAATTCAGGACGACCTCGTAGTCCAGTTAGAAAGCTCCAAGTGGGAAAAAGTCACGGTGCGTAGAAAGAGACTGCGTCAGTGGTAGAGCGTTGGGCTACATAGCCGGAGGTCGGGTGTTCGAACCTGTGCCGAGGTAAGAATTTTTCATCTGTGGCAGAGATGTAAATTTCCTTACATCGGTTTCGTGCATTATGTCAGCTACTCCGAATTAGGTTTTCCTGCAGTTTTCCTAATTCGTAAGGTAAATAACGTAGTAGTATAGAACAACTTAAGATCCTCTGCAGAACCACCTCTAAAAAGCAATAACGTGGGTGACTCTGTAATTGGGCGAACCCAGAACAATAGGGACAATATACAAATAAATAAAGCGTCTTATATTGGAATTGTTTAAAAAGCGAATAGTCGTTCCGATCAGTACAGCGTAAATCGAGCGTATAAGTTGTAATCGCCAGTTAGCAAAAGAGTGCCATTTCACATAAATTAAAGTGTGTTATGAAAAATTACGCCAAGGGCAGTGGCGCATTAAAAGTCAACAGCGCCCTAAGCCCTCAAGAATTTTGCTTGCCCCATATCAGACAAAAGATAACATTTTTTACGGCAATAATTGAACAACTTTTACGAAATTTAAGACAAAATCAAATACATTTACATAATAAACAAACCATACATTGTATTTCTATAAAGCGCAGATAGCGAACGTAATCTATTAACAAGGGTATGATTCTGAGACGTCTGATTTCAAATTTGAAGCTACAGGCACCCTTAGCATGTATAGAGACACCGGCTGATCAGTTGTTAATGTTCACTCGATGTTTAAACTCAAAACTAGCGACTTCAATTCTTTGTGTATAAATCTGCCTTTTTTAATATGTTTAACTGTTTCGTTCGTGAAGAGGTAAATTCCGGAATTTAAAAGTACTTAGAGGCATTCATCTGAAAATACAAGTTTAATCTAAGGTTACCGCAACCGGGACCTTCAAATACCTTCTGGCCTGGAGAAGGTCCGACTGATTAAGGAATGTATTTCGTGCATTTTAAGAGACTTCGGAATGTTATTTTTCACATATGGGAAAGAAATGAAGTCGCTTTGAAATCTATTTGAGCCGGCCATTCTTTGGCTTATCAAATGTATTAAATTAACGTCATATTTAAAATATTCAAGTAGGTAATTTGCATTTAAGGTCACATATGGAAATTACAGCAGGAACTAAATCCTTGCTAATGGGTTCCTAGGTAATAATTTTTTACAAAATAACATAAGGCTTTTACATTTACAGGCAATGTAAATTTGTTCAAATGTATTAGTCACAAGGTGTATCTTATTGTGAAGAAAGTCGTTTGTATTTTTAATTTTCCATGGTTATTTAAATAGGGATATTTAGAAAAGAGCGTGGTCACGATTAAGAATTTCTGTGATCAAAATTCAGAATAAAATCAATCAAGTTATGAAGAGAAACAATGTAAAGTCAAGTGGAAAGTGGATCTAAATTTAGTTTATTTTTAATCAATATATTCATTTCTTTTACTTTAGACTTTAGATTCAATTCTCGGCTCCATACAGCAGAAACACGATATACCAACTTGAATAGGCTCCCGTTTGTTTGGGACATTCTGAATGAGGAATTGGGAGAATCCTTTACAAACGCTGAAACGACTCCGGCAAGGACTGCAGATTGGTTGGGAGACAACAGGCGACACCTGCTGGAGTTGCTGCAACGAAAAACCACAAAGTGTCCAACCAATAGGCGAAGGAATGCGCTTAAAAAAATGAACACCAATTTTGTTTTTCTTTTTGAAATTTTAAAAGATTACTTTGGCAATTTCTGTCACTTAATACATACAGTGTGTCCCAGGAAGAACGTATACCATAGGGAAACGGCAATGTATTTTTTCGCCGAGGATCCACGAGGTCTTTGAAATTAGACCCCAAGATTCAACTCCAAGCTCTTTCTAGCAACAGAAGAGCGATTGCGTACGTTTAATGCTAGCCTCAAATACATGTCAAACAAAGGCCTCGATTATAACGTATGGGTACTTGATAATTTTGAATTTTAATGTACGAAAACGTTTAGATAACTCAAAATACGAATAAGACCTATTTGGACCGTCTTAGATTATATTTTGAATGATACACATTCGATATGAAAGTTATTAATGAAAGTGGTGTAACTAAAACCAATCGGCTTGCGCCTCCTGCTTTTAACGTTACACATTTTGATGCTCATATCGAACTTGTATCATTAATCACTATAATTAGTTGCATAATGGGTGTATAATCCGAATGAATAATGCAAACGGTATTAACCGATCACATTTCTTAACACCCGGATCAGGATCAAACCCGGATCAAATAGATTTGTCCAACCAGCCCATAAAGTTCTCCATTACATAATTAGTCTAATTACCTACAGCCGAATACGAATACCTATGAATTGATTCTGTCTGCGAGACGTAAAAGCTAAATACATTCAAGCATCTTTTCTAAAATGGGAAATAAACTCGCAACAAAAGAATCATAATTAACAAATTTCTCTTCCAGCAAAAGTGTATCTACTAACCTAAATTTCAAGCTGACCTCAGGTGCGTCTACTCTGCAACCAATTAATTTGCGAAATGAAGCGCTATAATTTTTTAGGTAATGGACATTTTTTTCCAATCCTTTCTAATTAGCACTTCAGCGTAGAATTACATAATGGCTTTCAGTTAATCACTCTTACCTACTCCCTTCTTTGTGTTTAATAACCTCGCTGTAATTACCTGCTTCTGTTTTAATTATCATGTCCAGAAGATGACGCGGCGCGGGGAGACGCGCCAGACACGTTTCATACACAAAGTCATTTTTTGCATAATTAATTTACATATTGGGGTCACTGTAATAAATTCTGCGTGGAAATACGTTTTGAATATTTATATGCATTTGCGGTGCCTATTTTTTGAGTTAGAGAAACTTCTAAGCAGTTACCACGAAACAGGTACTTAAAATATAGCAAAATCACTGTGCAATTGCATTGCATCCTGTAAAAAAAAATCTTATTAAATAGAGCGTATTAAATATAATCAATATTTAGCTTACGATATTTAATGAGCATTGATCGATTAGTATTACAGTTCTTAAACCATAAATATCTGGTGAGTTCACTGCAGCGTGCTTTGTACGACTTTTCTTACTGAAAAATGCCTATAGAGCATTCGCACCTTAGTATGCAGTATGGGGTCTTATGGACTATATCCCTCCTTTACTAATTTGCGTCATTCTTCAATAACGCTATCCTTATTCCTTACCGCAATGATGCCAAACTTACATATGATTGAATTTAAGCTTTAAAACAAAATATAACGTCAAATCTTCTTGTATTGTCATTACGTGTGTGGTTCGTTTTTGTCTTTCGTATTTAACACATTTTATTGTCTCATTGCTTTAAAAATCGTTCTTTTAAGAACGCCTCCATCTCGTACTTTATATACAAGGTAACTTTGAGTGTTCTTGTAGAACCGTTATTTGATTTCATCTTTTTAGAATATCCCATTAAATGGAAGCCGAAGCTGAAGCAGGATCTGCTAACGTGAAACGCCATAAAGGAGAGTGTTTTAGCCGGAAGGAGAAACACCTCATTATCAACGTGCTGAACTATTTCTCGGGAACGA